TCAAGAAACATGATTGCCTATTAATATTTAGGATCACGGTACCAAATGTTTAATTTTACAACCAATAACCGAGACACCAGGCACCTCTATTCATACCACGTAGCAGCTGACAAATTTAATAACGAGTCGGCGAAATAAAGGGCGTCTTTGCCTAATTACAATCCCTTCCTTGCCTCAACATCGCATTGATTACTTCGTTACCCTCGAGGCCTTCTGATTAAACGTACTCGAGAGAAACCGCGCGTAAACTGACAGAATGGCGGCAAAATATCAGCTGATTCTAATTTGTGACAGTGAGGGTGAAATTTTAAATGTTATAGCATAAAATAACCAACACAAGGGAGTATGTTTTATCATAGACAAAAATATATAAATATATACCGTAAGCTGTGCTGCTGTTACCATAGGTCCTGGCACACACCACTGGGAGCGCCATGTAGTTATTGTAAACACAAAATAATAATTAATTAAAACACAAGGACCTAAAACAGCTAAACGTCTGTATAGGATAAATATACACCGATCCTTGAGCAAATCTGCCCTGACTATTGTGCTGTGGGAAAATTGTAAATAGTATTGAGAAATTATAATACAAAAGATTTAGTATTATAATAGCTATAACAGCTAGATTTAGATTACAGGTAAAACAACCATCAATCGTAAGTTCGTTCTTCCAGTGTACTGTACTGGCTGCAAAAAAATATTTTCAAAATATTAGACGATACTTTAGGAGGAAAGTACTATACTAGTAATGAAGATGTCGAATTGAGTAGCCCGTGATCTAGATTTTAAAATAGGCCTATATAAAGACCAAGTGAATATTATTATTAATTAAACAAACAGTAACCGTTCGTCTTTCTAATCGTATTTGTAAATAAAATTTAACTTCCATTAAACAGAAATGTACTAACTTTTATTTGAATAAAAGTTTACATTCACAACAGTGACGTGTTTTACCGGATTCCAACAGATAAATTAAATAGACAAAGAGGGGGGTTGAAAGAGGGGTTTTTTTTTACTACGGTCCAGGGTTTTTAATGATATTGTAATTTCTGATCCCAAAACTCTTAAGGTTCGTGACATTTGACTTAAAATAATAATTTTCAATACACGATTACATGTTAAGTTATAGTTTAAAATCGTGCATACAACCAGGCAAGTTGCTAATCTCAATACTACTTATTCGAAATTCTATTTTTCGCTTTTATTAAAATAACTGTAATTACCTTTTCGGTCTCAATAATTATTTTAACATTTATGTCAGGTATAATTGGAGGAATTTCGGTTGGAAAATAAATCACGCAATTTTTGTTATATGTAAGGGAAAAATTCCGGTAGATAATTTAAAAGTCAGATGTATTAAGAAACTGTAAATTCCTAAAAATGATCCCAACACCTGTCCATATATAGAAATAACTACAATATAAACATATAGAGGCCCTATTCGTATGGGTAACTCCATCTTGAAATAGATTATGGTGCTTTCGATAATCCTGGGTTATTTAGCTCATATAGTAAATAATACAACAATGAGATGTATTGGAAATCTTTAGTACTCTAAAACTAGAAATAATGTACTAAACGTCATTTTTTTTATTTCAACTAAAGAACGTTCAACTCAAAATCAGAAGTTTCCGGTTTAAAGAAAACTACTTTAAAAACTTATACATACAAAAACCATTTACTAAAAATACAAATATTGATATTCGACTATTAACTTCACTCAACACAACAATGGTGTTTTGTCGCTGGTTTGAACCATTGTCAGTCTAAGGCATTGTTATGGAACGATGTTTATGACAATGGCACGGTAAGCCAGTCAAGAGCAAGAATCGGTATTGAAGTCGTCCCACGCATTCTCATCTCCAAACCTATATTAAATGTGATGAAGGATTCAACTGGATTCTGCAAAACAAACTTGATTTGATTAGGAATTATTCAGAAGATGTTTAATAGAACTAGTTATTTATCATACTTTCTAATGAGCTAGCTAGGTACGTTCCTATGTGACCGAATACTATTATGCAAAATTCTATAATCTACAGGGTGTCTTGCAACCATTATGAACAATCTTTGGCACGTTATCCAGCATGTCGAAAGGGGGAAAAATGTAATATAACATGTGTCCTATCTCATTCCGTTTTCGGTCTGACTGTCTGTATGTGATTTTGAGAATAACATTCATATCTCCTTAACTGTTTGAGCTATATCCTTGAAATTCTGTAAATACGTTTATCTTATTTACCACTACATTTGCACAACATGTGAATAAAAACTCTTAAACCGTTTCAAAATGGCGGCTTTAAAAATATTTAACGCCAAATTCCATGAAAACAATTACTTTTATAAAATACTAGCAGAGTACCCGTCCTTCGTACGGGGTTGGCATATAAGTATAAACAGCTTATTGCAGAGATAGATGAGGAGATGGTTTAAGAACATTTGGTCATTTTGTTCTACCACTGCCCCTAAACCATAGAAAAAAGTAAAGGTCTCATTGTGTACCACAGCTTTTTGTTGCTAGTTGGTTCAAATTAGCTGTTGTCATAAATGCAAAAAAATAATAGTGCTGCACCCTGTAGGAAAACCTTAAAACCTGTTAATGCTATTTAATATCATGTAACTAACTGCCAAACGTTAAGGAGTTATGAATGTTTTTGTAAAAATCACATACAGATTGACTGAAAACTGAATGAGATAGGACACATGTTATACTCCATTTTTTCGTTTCTTTTGACTTGCAGAATAACGTGATCAAGTTTGTCCATGTGGTTGCAAGACACCGTATATACAGTACTGTACAACCCGAATTAACCAAAATAAATGACAAAATTGTTTAGGATAACCCATTTCCCAGTTAATCAATAGTAGGCATAAAGACCATGTCTAAGGGTATAGGTTTAACTTTTATAAGGATATATTTCAATACGGTTGGTGTTGTCCGTGAGGTCTGATTCAGTCCAATGTACTCTTTCCGCTATTATGTCTGTCCATCGTTTGGTGGATCAGGATTTTAAGCTGAACGAGCTGGTCTTGATCATTGGGCTTTTATTGAAGCAATCATTGCTAAATAAACAGTTTTTAAACCATTCCACAGGACATTTCGTTCCATTTTTCATTCGCTGTGCCTACACGCTCGGTTTCCAAAAATAATAATCCATGTATACAAAAAAAGGGGAAATAGTAGTTTACAAATTACGTACTACGTAACTAAACATTAAATACGGACTTCAGTTTTAATAGGGTGCCAAAAAAAGCTTGGTACATCCTGTAAAATGTGGAGAGTTAGAAAATAACATATGTTTAAAGTAAATTCATTGTTGTCATTCGTAAACAACGTAGTTTGCGAGAATGCACGTCTTGATCGTTACAGAGTGTAGATTGTTCCATCTGGAAAATGAGGCCCGAGAGAAAAAACAAGAGAATTCTCTGGTAACAATTTCATGGATAAATGACTAGCAAATATACAAATTGACCTAACAGTCTAGAGTCTAATAGCCAACGTAAAAATCAAAGGTTTGCAATTAAACTGGTTATCAAACAATACTTGTAGACCAACAATAGTTACTGGAAAGTTAATACATGGATAATTGTATTTAGTTTAAAATTCGTACAAGTTGATTAAATAGCACAGAAATTTATCGTAAAATGATTGTCTTTTGAAGATCCATGACAGGAAATCCATAGAGTTAAAACAATATAACGATAGAAAATATCAAATACACATCAATCATCGTCATTGGGTTGAAAACTTTGAAAAGAGAACATAATTTTTTTCTAACTTCTATGAACACTAAAAAATTATAACTACTATTATTGGATAAGTAAGAACACAATAAAAAATGTAGAATTTGATTAAATAATTTTAAACATTGCAAAATAAGGGAAAACGTACCTAAAACTGACTCTTTATCTCTCATTACAAACGTAGACATAGTCAGTGAAACAATGCCACTCGGATAATACACCATCATGAACTACCAGAGTTTTCATCCATCCATTCTTACGCGTTAAAAAATTATGGTCCAAGGTTTATTCACTTACAAAAGGATTATTCGCACCAAAGTTTGAAGAAGAACTTAACTTTAATCTGAGAGATTCTCGGGAATAATAGGCCTAATTAACAGAATATTTGAGCGAGGGCATCTTTCCCAGTTGGCAAGTCGTTCGTTGCCGAGGATCTTTGCGAATTAAATTTTCAAACTGAACTTACTAACAAATTTAACTGCAAATGCAACAAGGCTGTTGTATTGTTTAGCTCGATTCTTCTCATCCCCCCTCAAAAGAAGTGTTAATTTATATTTTCAGTCCCATTTTTCGTAATTAATTTCTTTATATTTTATACTACATGATTCTTTTATGTTTTTAAACATCACGGGTAGATGATTCCTTACTCCAATGAAAAACGTTTTGCCATTCATAGAAAACAAAATTACGGAAAATTATAAAAAAATAAAATAAAAAAACTATTATAAAAGTATATTTAATCCTCACCGTCTTCGCAATCGAGGTGAAAATGTAATACGGAAGTTTTTGAAACTCTCCATCATGAATGGATTTTTTGTGTTTTATCGCTTTAAGGATATAGTTTAACATGAATTTCGTTAAAAACATTTGTTTAGAGTTCAAATAAAGCTAGCATTACAATCGTCACGCAATAATATCATTCGAATGGCAATTGTTATCAAGGTTTTATATCAAATCGCTCGAATGATGGTGCATTTCAGATCGGCAATTACAGTGGAACTAATTCAACCCATTATCCGGGAATTTTTAAGAAGTTACAAGCATTTGTTAACCACTGGTTTACGTTGGATTATGAGTAACAGGTAGATTATGACCAACAGGTATTACAAGTTAAATAAATAAGCAATAATTACGATAGCAAAGAAATTAAATGAATACCCAAGATTACGATATGACGAATACTGACACTTTTTAGTTAAAACTTAGGAGAAGAAAATCGTGCAAACATTCTCGACACTCGTGCATACACTTACCAGACAGAGAACCTTCTTCTGGGCATCTGCGGTGCTGACGGGGGTGTCAGCCCGACGTCCGAGGGTAGAGAAGAGGATAGCGGGGAGGAGGCGAGGAGTTCACAAGCAGACTCCGTCCTGAGGGCGAGTACCCGGGGAGACGACACGGTGGAGGACGACGAAGAAGTCTTCCGCAAGGACTCCGCCACTCCTGAGGTCGAAGACTCGCTGGTCAGAGGCGTTGGTGAGCAGGGACTCTCACTAACTGACACTCTGGGAACCATCACCTGACTGTTGGGTAAATCATCTGGGTTACTAGTAGAAAACGTCTTCGTGATCTTCGGCGTCGAGTACTTGTCCCCAGAGAATCCAATAGGGTAACTATCCGAAGACGTTCTCCTATTCCTCGGGCTGTTCTTCATCGGATCAATTAAATTAGGACTAGAAAACTGTTTTCTCGTAGGACTTTTAGCGGCCTCTTTCAAATTCGCTAGGGATAGAGCGATCAATTCGTTGGCTATATTGGTCCCTAGGACTCTAGAAGCTTTGTCTAAAGACTCGCTTCCTTGAGGTGTGATCGGCATGTAGTTGCTATCAGGGTCTTTAGCGATTTCAGCGCAGATGTTAGCGAACACGTCAGAACTCCTTGTTTCTGTCTGCTTCCTGTACAGTTCTAGAGTTTGCAGGTACGGTAACGTTGTTCTCTGTTGTTTCCTGTCTCTGGAGTTGTGGAAGGAGTTCCACCTCCGGATTGGGTCCAGTAGGTGTTGCCTCGTCCTTCTCCCCCTCATCTCCGGAGATCCACAAGGTGGTGTACTCGTTCCCTCTCTTTTCTTCGCCTCCACCATCTCCGCCTGTAGCCGCTCCTGCTCCTGCTGCTTTAACCGCTTCTCCAGTCGCTCGCAGTGCTTGTGCATGTCACTACTTGTCGACTATTGGTCGCGACATCACTACCGCTTTACCGCACCACCGTCCTCGTCAACGTTAGCCTCATCTGAACGCATGGATACATTACATGTGTGCGTGGGAGTGCTGAAACAACAATAGCTTACGTATGCTAGCTGTCCTAACTACTTTGAATTCTTATTTCACTGTTTACTTTGCTGGTTGGTTTACCATTGTAAATTTGATCTTGAATGTTTAGATAAAATACACATTAGTTCGCAGTAATAAGCAACTTAAACAATCAGATTATTTTAGTGTGGGATCAATTATTTGTCACCAGCATTATAAGAGCATTTATTATATATGCATTATAAGCGCATGTACCTAGGTGTTGGGGAGGGGGGTGAACTGATTGGTACGAGGGGAGGAGGGTCCGATAGTCAATACGAGAAACATTAAGCCAAATTAACGGCCACAATCGAGGACGACGCAGACAGAGGTGCCATTTCGATGGTGTTACAATGTTATGTATTTTTACGCAGTTGTAATTGTACCTTAGTCTGCGTTGTTCCCTTAACAAACGGCAGTACCGCAGTAAACAAAATACTAAAAAAATACGATCACAATATTTGAAAGAAACCAACCGTCACTATTAACTTTTTTTATTTTACGACGAACTCTAATCAAATCAAATTAGTCAAAAAAATCGTCCGGAAGTGTTATTGCCTGGATATAAACCAGGTCTAGTTGGCGAAGGTTCACACCCCAATTACTGTGGGAGGCTGCAAAATGTTTTTGTACATAAATGCGACCCACGGCGGCGCGCGGCGTCAACCCACGACCCACGAGCAAGGACTGTCTGGTGATTCATCCTGAGCGGCAAACTGGTGTCATGAGACCCTCTGGGCGCTCTGGGTGTCAAAGCATTCAAGCTACTACAATGCCTTTAAAGTATATTTATTTTATTTAAATTCTCCAAGTACATTTCGTCGAACATCTCGGGCTCACTGAGAATGATAACACAGTAAAAGCGAAACGTCTGCAATTAATTTAATCTTTCCACGCGATTGACATCACCTTCCAGCTAGTTCTATATTTTTTATTAATTTAATACTATTAGATAGTTTGATTCTTAATTCAACTCTTTTGAAACTGTATTCTATAGATTTTGTTTACTATCTAAATGATTTATGACAGAATCATCACATGAATTACACGTCTTGCCAATGTTAGATCAATGACCGAAATGTGCATGCCCACCCTACACAACAGTTATAATATTTTTTTAATCATCTCAACAATCAATCGCTGTTGGATTAATTTCTCCAACAGAATCTAGTTAGATTAACACCACTATTAATAAGTGGTAAATATACTCAGTGTTCCTGAGAGCCTGTCCCCACACTTCGGTACCAAACTTGCTATCCCTTCTGACACGATCCTTGAGTGGTTTATATACGAGTAATTCAAAACTGAGCTATTTTGGCGATTTCCATATATAGGAGAGAAGCTATTACCGTAGGGTGCCACCGTAGGTGGCAAAAAAAATGTACGTAGGTGGCACGGCTAGACCTAAACCCAGGATCTGAGGGTAATTTTAATATAAAAATTAAACTACCTTTTCATCCTAAATTCCCCAGAAAAAAACACTTGTTATAAATTAATAGGACCGGATGATGTTTTTGGGCTCTGGAGACATCAAAATGAAAAAAAAAGAAACAACTAGGTACCAGCCCCTTTATACCATGTAAAGTGATTATTGTTAGAGTAATATTGTCTGAATAAGTTGTATTAGATTCGAGAAATATTTACCGGAGTTATTGCTATATTACCACAGTAAGAGGGAATATTATTATCTGCATGATTTTTCCCACACGAGCGATTAACGCCATGGCTTTTATCCGAAAGGTTATTATCGTACTCGGTACAACATGAACCGCCAATTTTGCCGGCGTGACAAGTGACCGAGAGAAAGGTGCAATTAAATTTCGTGGCGATTCAATTACAGACAGCACGGCGATGCGGCAAACAGGGAAAGCGTAAACAGCGGGAATCAACTGAAATTTTACACCATCTGGTGTTAGCGTGCAAACATGTACGTTGTAGTAGTAAAGGGTGTAATGCATACAGTTTGGAATACGTGGAAACTGTTTAAAGTAACACTAAATATATTTTTGACTATACTATTTTTGATCACTGATAAGTAAGGTACCTTATTTCTCTGTGTCCAGATATTTAAAAAAAATTTTGAAACATAAATGCAATTTCTGACAATTTCTGACCTACACACACAACTCAAATAAATATATTTTACTGAAGTCAAATAATCGGCCGTTCCTATGCAGGTTGTGAGTACGAAATGCTACAGCAGTATAACAAAATACCTACAACTGTTAAATCATGTAAGATCGTCAGTTTAATGCTTGTACAGTGTTCCCTTCAGATATCTTTAAATTCAATACAAGCTGAAGCTCACACAGATTTCACCATTTATATAACAATTGTTGTTGCATGACATTATTTTCTCGTGTTTGTTGTCGTTTTGTAGTTGCCTACTGTTGTAATTTTGGGTATTGTCAGGTGTTGACTGGTATTAGTTGTTGTGCTATGTTGCTGTTTTATCTGGTACTATGAGTTGTCTCATGTTTTGTTTTAGTATTATCTAGTGATAGCACGGTGATAGTTAGCTATTTTTCCCGTTGTTTATTGTCTAGAGTCGTATTGTCTTGTGTTGTTGTGTATGTGTTTTTTGTGTTGTTATGTCATTGTTGTTTTCTGTCTAATATCGCGTTGTTGTGTCTTGTGTCCGAGTCGTACTGTTGTGTTGTTGTGTATGTGTCGTATTGTTGTGTTGTTATGCCTGTGTTGTTGTATCTGTGTTGTTGTGTCATTGTTGTTTACTGTCTAGTGTTGTCTGGTTGTGTCGTTGTGTTGTTGTGTTGTGGTGTCATTGTTGTTTACTGTCTAGTGTTGTCTGGTTGTGTCGTTGTGTTGTTGTGTCTTGTGTCTGAGACGTACTGTTGGTTTGTTTTGTATGTGTCGTATTGTTGTGTTGTTATGCCTGTGTTGTTGTGTCATTGTTGTTTACTGTCTAGTGTTGTCTGGTTGTGACGTTGTGTCGTTGTGTCTTGTGTCCGAGTCGTACTGTTGGTTTGTTTTGTATGTGTCGTATTGTTGTGTTGTTATGCCTGTGTTGTTGTGTCATTGTTGTTTACTGTCTAGTGTCGTATGGTTGTGTCGTTGTGTCCGTGTGTTGTATTGTCGTATTGTTGTGTTGTTATGCGTGTGTTGTTGAATCTGTGTTGTTGTGTTCAAGTCGTACTGTTGGTTTGTTGTGTATGTGTCGTATTGTTGTGTTGTTATGCCTGTGCTGTTGTGTCGGTGTGGGTGTTAGTCACGGGTGAACACCGACCGTCACCCAGATTGAGTTACACCCACCCTACTCTGGCCTCAACTCCTTCCTTACAATAGTTGTCAGTTATTGTAGGATGTAATTATAAGTGGTCCTAATGGGACTATTAACTGATGTTTGTCACACGGACACCCCATAATGCAGAGACAAGCTGTTATCTTGTTTATTCAATACTTTTTCTTCTCTCAGCTCGTACAACTTTCGAAATTGTGCATCTCCTCTTCGGTATATTTTTCTTACAGTGGAATAACTATCGTTAACTATGATGATTGCAGAGGCATAAACTATGTCATTTACTATCGTCCTTATCACGTTGATTAATAGTCCTATGAGAAGAATAATTTGAGTAAAGATAAAAATATAATTGTACAGCACGAAACTATATGGATGGCTCAAATGAAAAAGTTTTCTAATTGTAAACCTAATTAAAATAAAGAAATATGAACTACTTCGTGGTCATGACAACTATTCCGACGAATATTAATTAGGAAGATACCACTGCCAAAACCACGAAAAGTTTTTTTAGTGACAAGGAAATCACCGTATAAAACGAACAAAGTTACAGAAATATGAAGGTGGGCACCGACACAGTTTGTAACTGCAGGCCTACACCGTACAGTGGTCAATGGAGTATTGGAAACGGTTCAAGTTGGATTCAACATCCCACACTTTCTACTGTTGTTTTGCGGTGGCGAAATAACGACCTCTGAACTTCATGAACCACAATTAATTATTCTAAGCTTTACCTTCAATGGATTATTTTATTTTCAAAATGTAATGCAAGGTAGGCCTAAACATTTTGATTGAATGCCGAAATGAACATAAAACTAAGCTGGTGGCTTAAAGCTTCATTGAATACAAGATATTTACGTGGAAATAAGAATGTAAAGAAATATGACAATGTTGATTAAAAACTAAGCATTTCATTTTTACGTTTTCTTTTGTGGAATCTGAATCAAAACAAGTCATAAGATAAATGCCCGATAGCCAACGGCCTCGGAAATATAACTGGTCTTAACTGTATACACAAAGAGTTTCAATTCTATGTAATACTAACACTTCGAATAGACATTAAGTAGATAACTGGGATAAGATAATTGGGCGTTAAGTAGATAACTTTTGTCAAAGAATCAGTTGATTTTGGTCAGCAACAAATTTCTTATCCAATTCATTCAACACTCATCCTTTACTCAAATTCTCCTTAAAAATTTCACTATTTTCTTTCGGAGTAGATGATAAAGTAAATGTTTTAAATTTAAGTTTTGTGAAAAATTCTTAAAACTCTTAAATTACCAGAATTTTGATTGCACATAAAAAAAATTAAGTCCACACAACAAAGCATTCCTTTGCATTTCAACATTGCAGCAGGGACTCACACTAAGGCTTCATCACTTTTCCAGAGAGGTTAGTCACAATGTAAATCATATTTCCAATTTCATCTCTGCAGGTTTCGCATTGTACTGAAATGATTGTACATGTACAGCTTCATAGCAGTCTACCATGTAACTACGGCCTAATAACAATCATTTATCCGATTTTACCCATTAAGATGAGCCTAACGATGTTACGCCATGAAGCCTGACGCACATCATGTGATCACGTGCGCATTCTTGGCCAATTACAATTACATGTTCTTGTTAGCGAGCCTTCACCCGCAGTGTGAGGGAAACTATTGGGAATTTAACTCGAATCGTCGATGAAGAGTTTAGTACTGAACATGATTGTTTTGGATGGA